GTTGAGCCACCACAGACAGCACTTCCAAGTCAATACGATTAAACTCGTCGAAACAGGCCCAGGCTCCGCAGGACAGAAGGCCCTAGGCAGACGAACAGACATGTGAAGTCACACACAACCAAAAGACACAATCATATAGACATTTATTCAGATCCTTACAGTCCAGATTATATTAGAAAGTTTTGTAGGAGTATGAGGGACATGTTGTTATGGTAAACTGCCGCAAGTTTCAGTGGAGTATGGACGTTAATAAAGAAGCTCCTCTGCTTGAGCCATCACTTCAGTGAGCAGAGATATTCTACGACTCTCACACCATAAAAATAAGGATGTAAATAAGCATGTGTGAGGCAAAAACAGATGCACTATATGAGCAATATGGGTTGTAGTGATGTGTAGAAACTGGCATTTGAATGTTTGTATACTACAATATGTGAGAGGACATTCAAACCCATGTAGCCTTTTCATTATCTGACTCTCAACAGAGCTGACTGTTGCTCCAGAGGCAGGAATATCTTTATGTGCTTTCACATCTGTGTCTGTGAGCTGAGGTTTGGATGGCAGACAGACAATTTTCATATTTTTAGACTTCTGCTAGAATAATTTTTACTCACTTTGAAGAACTTGCCCAAAGCGATGTAGTCCAGCCCGTCCGAACAGTTGAACACAACGCACTGCTTTGCCACGGCTTTGGCCAAGTCTTTGGTTGTCTCTGTTTTTCCCGTGCCAGCTGGACCCTCAGGGGCCCCTCCCAAATGGAGATGAAGCGCTCCGAACAAAGTGCTGAAGTCGGATTAACAGTAAGGGGACAGCCCGTGTTAGACCTTACAGTCAATCAATTAATGATTGACGGCTCACTTACAAATAAATTTTGGAACATGTTGAAGTGATTGAGAGCCTCACTGAAGGGAAGCAGCATGAAGAAGAATGCCAGAATTTGAGTACTAAGCTTTCAGAGTCTCAGTTTCACAAAAGCTAATTACTGTACTGCTGTAAAGGAACTCAACTCTGGGGAAAATGGCTTTTGTTTTCAAAATGAAAATGAAAATTCTGGACACTCAGAATCTCTGTTTTGGTGAGGCGCTTCATGACGTATACATGTTATAGTATCCTTGCATCACTCACCTGAAAAAAAATAAACATGTTTTTTGTTTCTTTCAAAACTATTCAAACAAATCCTTGAAAACAGTCATCTTCAAAAACTCGCCAACTTGTTTCAGAGGCTTCCTGGGGGCGTAGTGAGAAGAAACTTGTTTGCATAAACACCAGTTGTATCGAGGTTAACGGTCGGGAGGGAGTCTGCTCAGCAACATAATGGACTCTATTGTACACACGGTGCAAAGTGTTGTGGAGTGCAGCTTAAGTAGCATTGTTATTTTCCACCTGAACACTCATCAGTTTCACTTGCATCCGTGTTAGTGCACCTCGAGGGTGCTGGTCTTAAAATGAGGTGCACAAAAGGTGGTGCATTGTTATTTCGAGGAAACGGAGAGCGTCTGCACCTTGAACCCACCCAGCCTTGTCTTCAGTCTGATGTCAGAGGGACAGCACTCTCCTGCTGTTTAGAGGGTGCTTTAGTGAAACAGCACAATGGATGCGAGTGTTCAGAACATAAATTTCTCTACAGGTAACACACATACAAAGACAGTACTGGGAATTAAATATCTGTGTTTTAGTTTCAGCACAGAGGGCTGAGACATGGGTTTTTCCTTGTCTCCGTATATCATGGTAATGCTCTCTTTTAAGTGGGTACAATAGTAGGATAAAGCGTCAGCCTGAGCTCCAATCAGTGTATACAGCAACACACCTGTCCTCAGGGGCACCTGCCTCTTTTAAGGAAAGAGAGCAGACACACTGATTGGTGTGAATTATGTTACACAGAACACATCTGTGAACAATCACGGGACTTAATACAACCTCTTTGCACCTTGTGCCTCACTTAGAGCCCAGACTGTGAGACTTTAACCGGCAAGATGTGGTCCTGATTAAATTTCCACTTTAGATCGTTTGAATAAAACCAAAAAGGATTCGAGTAAAATTTCAGCTTTCAAGACAGAAACATAAGTGAATTTTTTTGTGGGAAAACAAAAGTGGGTGATTGAGCTATATTTGAAGGTTTTATAGGATTTGGTTGAGTCATAGAATTGACATTACATGCAACCTCTTACAAGGACGGACTGAACTGTTTGTGGCTTAACGTGTTTGTGAAGTAGGATTACCGGTAGCAGCGGTCAGTGAGAGGGGTGATAACCAGACGTGGTGTGTTGCCAAGATACTCATATCCATAAGGCAAACCAGCGTTGATCATCTTGGTCTGAAGGTGGTTTTCCTGCACAGTTCAGAGATTAGCCATCTATTAGAAATCACAAGGAAAAATGCTTAAGCACATTCACTAACGGCCTTTTACCCTTTTTTTCACTCACCACCCAGTAGTAGCGCAGCTGGCTAAGCCACTCAAAGTCGTTCTCATCACTTATTCCCTTTTGCACCAGTGAAGCGAGCACATCTCTGGCGTGGACGTCCAGCACGACGAGGGCTCCTAGGGTCACTCTGTTCTGCTTAGATAGTTGGCCACGAACAAGGGCAACAATGTCGTCGATCTGTCTGTTGTTCTGCTCCAAATAGTCATCCAAGGCCTAAGGGAAGAGGAGCACGGTTATACAGAAGAGAGGGCATGCTAAAAGTTTTCATGAGGTCTCCTTCTGTAAACTAATGGCTACACATTTGATCCACGCAACAACCACAACATCAATCACTGTCAAGATTCTACAACGGAGTAAAAGGGCCACTTAAAGAAAAAAGATTTTAAGACTTCGAGATTAAAATCTTTAATTTACGAGAATGAAGTTGTAATAAAACCATTACCTCAAGAATAAAGTTGTAATTAAGTAATTATTTACGAGAATAAAGTTGTAATAAAGTCATTATTTACAGGAATAAAGTCATAATAAAGTAATTACTTATGAAAATTAAATCATAATAAAGTCATTACTTATAAGAATAAAGTTGTAATAAAGTCATTACTTATGGGAATTATGTTGTAACAATGAGAATAAAGTCATAATAAAGTCATTACGTATGAGAATCAAGTCGTAATAAAATCATTACCATGGGAATAATGTTGTAACAAAGTAATTACTTATATTACTTAGAATAAAGTCGTGAAAAAGTCTGACTTTAATCTCAAAGTCTTAATTTTTTTTTTTTTCTTAATGTGGCCCCAATACTCCGTCATAAGATTCCCATGAGAGGAACAGGGTATGTTTTCTTGTTTTCTCTTTGCAGGTAGCTAAAAAAGAAATAAAAGTAAAAATCTGTTGTGTCTTTGATGATGTTTGAGGAGAGCGTATCTCTGTGAGAGTTTTCTAGTCAAGTTTTGCAGGAGAGAATTACACGTTAACTGTCTACGGCAGCAGACTTCAGGCTGTCAGCTTGAGAGACGTCTCTGCTTCTCTGTTTGATGAGATAGATTTAATTCATTTTGTAATTCACTTTCAGACCATCTGTTCCCATACACACCTCTGTCTCGGTGCTCAAAGCTGAACAGTTATAAATTTAATAATAGCTCGCAGATAGTGCCACCTTGTAAGTCATTACTGCGAGCATCACACTCATTGAAAACTAATCTGTCTAGCACGCAATTTATCTACAAACAGTCAGAGTCTGTTGACCTTATCTGGAGAATCTTTTTAATCTCTTGTTTAAGCTGTTTCTTCATGCTCTGTCTGGCATTACACTCTTCACAGCATATGCTGCCATAGTAACAACTTTGATGCAGACCCTATATAACATCAGAGGATACTGTATATTATGTATTTCAGATACAAGCTGTTACCATAGTTACAGCTTTGATAGAGACATCATAGAACTTCAGATAATGTTGTATTTTATGAAACAAGCTGGCTTTCCTATGGTATAGGGAATGCTAGGGTGTAGATGAGACTATCTTTACAAGAATACAAAGTCAGTGGTGCAGAAAAATGATGTAAACAACGCTTTGAATGTCTTGACCAATACTGAAAAACAGTTTTGAATTTTGCTGCTCCACACGACTACAAGTTTTCAAAACATTTAAGTGTTTTTCAACAACATTCAGTGCTTTTCGAAGACAGTGAGAGGTTAATCATTCAGGAGAACAGACACTCAGTTGTGTGGTTTAAAACTAATGGCAGTACTGTGCATTAAAGAGACAAAGCTGGGATTGTTGTCGGGGATCTGCTGGAAGCACAACATAAAAACATACATGCGCTGACACTTCATGTGTGAAGTCAGCTGATCCTGACACCAGCTCACATCAGCTGACAGCTTAGATGATTACTTTCTATGAATCCAATCAGCCAATGTCAAAGTGAGCCTTGTGTTTAAACTGCTTCAGTCTGTCTAATCTCGCTGCTTCATCCGTGAAACGCTTTACGACCCACCTCCACCCCAGCTGAGTCCGATTTTGTCAGTGTCATATGCACTGTCACTGATGCCTGCTCTGTTCTGTACCCTGGGTCTTTGCTGGATGTCTCTGCCTGAGCTTGTCATGTTCTTAAAGTGCTCCCTCCTCACACTTTAAGAACACTACTACATGCAAATAACTAATATTTTTTTGGACAACAGTGGTCCAAACTGAAACCCAAAAATTGCTCACCTTCTGTCCTGAATTAATGGCTTTGTGGATGTCTTTTGTCCAGTACACCTGTGAGACGCACAGCACAGTCTGGCCTGGCCAAGCACGCACCCAGTCGATTCTCAGCTCTTTAGGGTACGCCTCTAATGCCTCCCCAATCACCTACAGAGGACAACAAGAGAGACAAAAGCTTTATTCACATGGTTTTACATCATTAGAGATTTGAGAGGCCCTGCATGTGCAGGCTCAATCTTCTCATCAAACATTTCAGTGAAAATAAAAAAGGTAACACTTTCAGCTGTTTGGGAGTCTATATTAATCTTGAAATAAGGCAAATATGATACACACAACACCTTGTGCAGGGAGGCAATCATGCCATTCTCGAGTTCCAGAAGCCACTTCTCCACCTGACCCCTGGCTTTGGAGGTAGAAATGATATCCAGCAGCTGCACCACCTCCCCCTCACTGCTCTTCATATGGGTGATGTCTAGCACATCGGTGAACACCACACTGGCAATGCCTTCAAAGCACTTCTTCAGATGGGGCTGCACCCTACAGGAGAATAAGGCGAGGACATTAGAGCTCTTTTACTGTACAGACCGTCTGGTTTCTACAGCAAAACTGATCTTTTAGATCCAAACAAAGAGAGACTTTGCTGTATTGGTCCTTTTATATTTTTCTCCTTTAGCACCCAGCTTACTCAGTAAGCTTAAATCAGGGTCAAACTGGTTGTAAACTTTGGAGGAGTAGTTCGATTTTGGGAAATTATCTCTTCACATTCCTGCTGAGTGTGAGACAAGGGATCGATGCCTCTCTTAAGACTTTGTGTTGAATTCAGAACTGAAGCCAGTGTGTTGGCTTAGTTAAAAAAAAAGATTCAAAGCAGGGGGGAAAAACAAGCCAGACTCTTTACAAAGTTTGGAAAACAAAATCAAACACACACGCACACACAAACAACTATATCTGATTTTACTGTACACAAATTAGAAAAGTGATATTTGTAGTTGTGCCAACACTTGCAAGAAAAGTATTTCTTTATGCGCTCAGCCAAAGCGAGCTAATCGCTTTCTCATTTGTAGGATGAGCTATTTATCACTGGCTCACTCTCTTTATCTCTCTTCCTTTTCGTCTATTTATTTATTTAGATCCCCATTAGCTACTATTAAGGTAGCAACCATTCCCCCTGGGGTCTGCTCATGCACACATGTGTGATTACAACTCCATTAACACCAACATAAAGTAAACAACTTTGTTACTGCAGTACTGTGAGAGGATTTAAGTTTATTGAAAGCACTTTTCTTAATGAAATTATGGCTTTAAGTGTTGAATAATTAAATCAACATTAAATTGTCGCTTGTCGCATGGGTCGGAAAAAGCTTCATATCGATAGGTGATCAATGACATTCTGTTATAGGAACATAGATGCAAAAGGACTCAGTTACTCATCATGCAAAAATACTGCTTCCACCAATACTAAAAATAGTAATAGTCATAGACTGTATATAGAATGGACGCCGTCTGCCTCCGAGCTGGGTGAAGCCACTCCGAGAACAGCACCCTCTAGTGATGGGCTGCAGTATAGGTCATAAATCCCGCCTCCTCCAGCAATCCTTATAGAGCTGTGGACAAACTTTAGAAACTAATTACACATAATATAAATTTTTCTCCCCCCTGGTTGCGATGTTGACATGCAGTTGTAACATTTTATGATGAGAGTCAAAACTTGACCCACACTTCTCAACAAAAGTGGTTCAGAATGCCTCCAAGTGAGGAGCTGAATCTGGTTATTCCTGATTCTTGTCCCTAAAGTTGCGTTAAGAAAAATCTAGTTTTATATGGACTGGATGTTTATGACTCTTTCCCAGAATTTACCCAGAAAACAGTGAAAGACATGAACATAAACCTAACACTAACAACATTAACTCAACCAAATACCAAAAGGGTTCTCACGTTACTGATTCTAACATCATTACTGATTCATCATCTTTTTGTTTTTTCATATATTTAATCGTATCTCATGATTTGCATAACTGCTATAGTCAGTTTATTTGTCAGCATATGAACTCCTGTTCCCTATCTTTGTGTGATTTTGAAAAAGCAGGCCTGTTGATGTGAAGCATGAGAGGGAGAACTATCCAGAGCTACTTCACTCCTTGCTACAGATGTCAGGATCATCATCCTTGGATCAAGTTCCACTATAAAGCAAGAGTGAGTGCTCTTGAGTATCTGCACCTGAGCACCAGGAGCTTCTTCTTCTTTTTTACCAACCAGGGGGTCAAACTAAAGAAGGATTGATGAGTTAACTAAGGCAGCACTGCTCAGATTGAATAGCCTCTGTTATTTCAGCATCACATGTTACAAAACAATGGTTTACAAATGAAAGATACATTTGTGGTAAAATGTTTCACTGTTGAGTTGGGTTATGATGTCTTTGTTATTTCTCAATTTCTCAGATGACTGTCAGATGCTGCCTCAAAAGTGGCTCCAACTCAAAACTGACGGGTGATGACATTCTGGCTGAGGCAACATCTTACGCCGGCGCTCTCTGACTCTCCTGCTGTTGTGAAACCCATTCTTGAAGGTAATCTAAAAGCAACTTAGAAACTCTGTTTTCTGCTCACACAATAAACAAAGCCTTTTCTTTCATCTCCATCCACTTCAAAGGTCTGTGTGACTGTTGCTGCACTTTGGAGGCCCACCTTAAGCATATTGCATTTCTGTGCAGCAAAGCACTCAGGGAGAAAGGGAAATAGGAACAAGTGCTTCCATCCAAAGCAATGAAACTGTACAAAATTGGGTACCTTGCTTTCTCTATATACCTGAAATAAAAGTAAGCCCCTTTGTCAGCCGAGCACTGCATTTAGGGAGCAGAGGCTCATATTCTCCAAAAATCAAAATAACACTCTCCAGAGGAGGGTATTACACCAGCCTCAGGGCTCCAGACACCCCCACTAAAGCAGAAATCCCTTCTTTACAGAAGGGCTCATGATTGTGTGCATCTGCACTGATGTGATGACAATTCCCAAAAGTTAAAGAGAGAGTGGAGGGATACAAGGGTGAGAGTGGAAAGAAAAATAGAAATGGCGAGATAACAGAGAGAGGCGGGAGCGTCTTTTGTCTGAAAGCACATTCATTATGAAACAGAAGCCCTGGGTGAAATAAAACAAGTGTTGGTTATCACACAGGACTTGATTTCTGGGGAACTTCCTTCAGAGAGCGGCTGAGCGTGTTTGTTAGCTAAACATTTGTGTCTCTGAGGGGAGAAACTCTTACAAATTGATTGGCTCCTTCCACATGCTAAACCTCTGTTGATAGATGGGAAATGACTTTTGGTTTCACCACACTCTAAGCTGCATATCTACAGAAAGCAGTTTATTTATACTACTCCAGTTCAGTCAATCAATCAATATATCTTTACATGTGTTAATGTTTCCCTGTCTGCGCTTTTGAAATAACATCCTGTCTGGTTCACTTCACTATCACAGAAAAATCTAACTAGCATGAATGCATCACCGTTTATCTACTGGCAGCACTCAAGGCATATTGTCAAGCATATGACATAGCATGATCCTGAAACGGGAGGAGGACTATTTTTTGTTTGCTCAAATTCAAAGCCCTTCTATCTTACCTTCTGATGTGTGGAGGGGAAGAGGTGAAGAGAGGCAATTTGGACTGGTATTTTCAAGACGGTGCACAAATGTTACAAGACTGATTTCCCTGCTAAAGCAGCTCTACGACCCCAGAAAGTGTGAGAGTTGAAGAGTGCAGTGCAGCAGTCAATTTCGAACCAGGTTTATTACCGGGTGAGGATGCATCAACAGCATCTTTCTTGTGTTAGTCATAGACTTGGTAAAATCAGGAAGCCTTTCAAGGTCAGTGAAGTGAAGAAGAAGTGTTACTGGAGTGCTAGTAAGCTGTACCACGAAAGTAGAGCTGTATACATTTGTTCCAAATTAAAGAACAGTGTCTGCTCACATGTAATGCTGAAACTGGACTGGTAAACACAACCTAGTGGTGACATGGAGAGTAGACTTTTCCGCTTTTACTGACATCCATAACATCAAACTGTAAACATTCATTAGTTTGGCAATCATACTTTTCACATTTTCATCAACCATTGTCCCAAAAAATTACCATCTGTCAACTTGTTACTTGAACTTTACCTTGTGGGGTCTTTGGTCTCTGAGAGGATTTCCAGCAGCTCCTCATTGGACAGAAAGAAAAACCGAGGGAAGTAGAGGCGCTTCTTCTCCAGGTAGTTATTGAGACCTTTGAGGATCAGCTCCAGGAGTTCGTTGGACTTTTTCAGCCGGTTTAGCATCTTGTCGATGGCCACCACTGACAGCACATGCCTGTCCTAACACGCACAGAGAAAGTATATAACACAGAGTTAAATATATTCACTTTAAATAAATTGCACGTTATGCTATTAGTGAGAGAGCTTTGTTGTCTAATTAATAGGGGTGTCCCAATACAACTTTTTGACTTCCGAAACAATATTGTGGCCTTCAATATTGACCGATACCAATATTGGTCTGATATTAGCACAAAGTTTTTCACTCAGCTTCAGTGTCTTTCTCAGACTTTAACGAAAAATACTGCCACAAGGCCGACATCACTCTTACTCCTTGCTACTTTGAAAGTACCTTAGTACACACTGTTGTTGTGATTTTGTGGGCTCAGCTTGCTGGATCAAGGCCCTAGAGGTGCTGGAGTGGAGTCTGGAATGGACTGCTTGTATCGGAATGCTAATATTGGAGATTTTAGATGCAAGCTGATATAATTCGATATTCGATTTTTTTTTGCTGATATCGGACCGATATCCAATATCAATATCATATCAGGACACCCCTACTAATTATTATAATTGACTCCCAAACAGGCTCCATGTTTTACCTCTGTTTATGTTAGTTTTAGCTCATTTTATGCTGGAGGTATCTGCTTTCCATTGACCCTCAGCAGAGGTTTCCTAGACTTCCACATAGTCGCTAATAAACCATCTCCTTCCTCTGCCTCTTTGGGTTGTTCTCTTTAAAGCATTTTCAAGGACCACTCAAGGCCACTTTATCAACCTGACAGGGGCAAATTTAACACATTCACTCCTCAGCCACCAACAAAACACTCTGCAAAGTAGCCTGCATGTGTTGCATGAGTTCAAATTAAAGCCTGCCTTTCTTTTATTCCTAGCCATGAGCCTGTAGGGTAACACTACAAGGTTTCACTATCTGCCTTTTGCAACATCCACCCTGTTCTACAGAAATGACAAATTGTCATACAGCATCCTTAAAGAAATCTACACTGGGACTGTAAAATAGATTCTCACCAAGGCCTGTCCCACACATATGATACATTCCAGCTCTGATACCATCCCATTCCAGTCTAATTGAATATCCCTGCAACTGTCAGCCTCAGGAAGGCAGGTCTTTCTAATCTTCAAGGTTGGACAGTGAATGCTTGATTTTTGCTCATGTGAAAATGTTGGCATTTCTGAAATGAGGTGCACAGTCCGGCCTGATATCAGCCTCTGACTGGAGTGAAATGAAATGCAAAG